AAACCTGTCGAGAAACCTGTCGAGAAACCTGTCGAGAAACCTGTCGAGAAACCTGTCGAGAAACCTGTTGCAAAACCTGTCGAGAAACCTGTTGAAAAACTTGCCGAGAAGCCTGTTGAAAAACTTACTGAGAAGCCCGTTGAAAAACCTGTCGAGAAACCCGCTGAGAAACCTGTCGAGAAACCCGACGAGATATCAAAGTCCGTTGCTTCCAACGTTGTTTCGGAAAAGCCGCGAGAGCGATTACCCGCGGACAGCGAAGAAGCATCGGAAGAAATCAACGCCGATGTAACGAGCGAGTCCGACGCGAAACTGCAACCGGAAAAAGTGCCTCGACGAGCCACGTCCGAAGCGAAAACCACGGAAACGGCAGTCGCGCCCGTCGTCGATAGCGAAGAAGCCGGTTTGCCCGGTATCGAGGCATCGCCGGTTATCAAAGTCCTCGAGGAAGAAACGATCGTTCTCGCCGATGTCCCTGGAAAGCCAACGAAGAAAACGGAGGAGTCCGAGAAGAGAGTCGAGAAGCCGAAGACTCCTGGAACCGAGGCGAGAAAGCCGAGCAAACCGAAGGAGAAGACGGAGGAGCCTGACGCCGTCGTCGTCGACGAGTCGAGACGGGAGCCCGAAACGAGTGGAGCCGACGCGCCGAACCTCGACTCGAAGGCCGAAGCGAGAGGGAACGGCGATGGCTACGATCGAGCTGCGTCCCCGATCGAGGAACGATCGAGAGAAGGCGAGAAACCGACGGAGACGTCTCCTAAAGTCGATGATAAGCCCGGGTCTCCCACGATGGAAATCGAACCGGGAAGAACAGCCGAGCTTGCCGGAGCTTTCGAATCCGAAACCGAACGAGAAGAAACGACGTCGGGATCGGAAAAGCCAGCCCGGACGGTTGAAACTCCCGAAGCGGAGATCGCGCAGGAATCTCCAGCCGAATCGAAGAAAAAGGTCGAACCTCTCGTCGTAACCGATAAAAAGCAAAGTTCGGTGTCTACGGGCAAACTCGCGGCTTCGAAGAAAGAATCCGCGAAGAGGAAAGCCAAAGCCGCGAAACCCGATCGAGGTGCCGGCGTTCCGAGCTCGGAGTCGACGAGGAAAGACGAGAGGCCGGTCGCGAAGGAACGTTCGACGACCCCGAACGAGGACGAGAACGAGAACGCTCCGGGGTCGAGGTCGAGAGCGAGCGAGGCGACCGGCGAGTTCGAAAATGTTCGAGAAGGCGAGAAGGAGCGCGAGAGCGACGAGGCGACGACGTCCGAGGAAACGTCGACGACCGGGAAAGCGGTGATCGTCGAGAAGACGGTGACCACGGTGACCACGGTCACCGGCATCCCCGGGTCCGCCGACTTGAAACCACCGAACGTGAAATCCGTGAAATCCGTAGAGATCTTAGAGAGCATCCCCCTACCCAAGATCGTAGGCTCCAAACCCACCGAACTAATCACCCTGCGTCCCGAAACGGTAGAAACGCGCTTAACCACCAGATATGCTAGGGTATCGGACGATCGAGCCGCCGCCGCCGACGCCGCCGCCGTCGCCGTCGCCGTCGCCGCGAGTACGTCGTTGGACGATAAACCGGGCTCGGATTACGCGGTGTACGTCGACGGTCTCGACGAGAACGGTCAGCCGGTTCTGTTCGGTAGCGTTCAGGATAGGAGGAGGGGTCGGTCCGGAACGCCCTCGTCGCCTAAATTCGTAGAGAGAGACGCGGGGGCAGGCTCGCCGAAAGACGCGAACGGTCCGATCGCTCCGTCGGCTAAATCGGACGAAAGAGAATCGAACGCGGCCGAGGAGGTTTCGACGGAGTCGTCCGGCGAGAATTTCGACGAGAAAGAGACCGAGGTTCCGACGCGGACCAACGACGTTAGGCCCGAGGAAATTGACTCGGAGAAAGGTAAGAAATTCGAGAACGTCGTTGTTCGGAAAAAGGAGTTGCTCGAAGACGGAGAGAGGTCGATCGTCGTCGTCGAGACGAAGGAGTCCGACGTTGGTTTCGGGGTCGCGAAGGTCGAGATCGGGGCGGGGAAAGCGGGAGACGTTGTCGGTGAAAGTTTAGCTGCCGCGGAATCGATCGAAGAGGCGAAGAAACCGACGAGGGTCGAGGTGTTCGAGCGCGAGCCGACGAAAGCGCGAGAAATCGTCGAGAAAGCAGCTGCCGTCGCGCGATCGGGCGAAGCGGAGGAGAAAGGAGTCGAGGTCGTGGTCGATGAGAAGGTGACCGTGATCGAAAGGGAGTCGAACGGTTCCGAGTCCGAGAACGAGGATAGAGCGGCTCCGTGTTACTACGACGACGCGGTTAAACCGTACCGGCGCGACTATCGCGCCTACGCCGAAGCGGAGATCGGCTTCTATCGTCGCTTCAAAGTAGTGGAGGTGCTGCGGGAAAACAAACCCGCGCCCGCGTCGGAGAAACCGGGCAGCATCGAGGAGATGGTCGAGGAAGCGACCATGAAGAAGCTCGAGCCGGAGAAGACCGGAGAAGAAAGGACCGCGCCGTCGGCGGCGGAATTCAGAAAGACGGCGTTCATCGAAGAATCTCTCAAGTATCCTTTATCCGTGTATCGCGAACTGGAATCCGACTGGGTCAAGTCCGCGATGTCTCGAGCGAGAAACGCGGCTTTGGAAGACGATGAAACGACGAATGCCGAAGAAACCGAAAGAACGAAGGAACGCACGGAATCCGTGAAAGCGATAGACGTCGAGAGCGGCGAGACGACCGAGACAACCGAAGACGTCGAACGATCGTCGAGTCTCGAAGTCGTCGACGCCGAGAAACCCGATGCCGAAGGGAGAACGGAGGAGAAAGATTCGGAGCGCGCGACGGAAAACTCTCGAGCGGACGATGCGAAGGATACGGTGGAAGAAGTGGTAACCGAGACCGAGAGCGTCCGATCGCCGGAGACGGTTGGCTCGTCGATCCGATCTGTGGGAAGCGCGAGCGACGCGAGCAAAGGCTCCGAAGAAAGAGACGAGACGACGACGACGACGGTGGAACCGAAACCGGAGAAAGTCCCCGAAAGATCGAAGGGAAAGAAGGAGAGGAAGAAGGAACCCGCCGCGCGAGATAAGCGAGAAAAGACCGCCCCCGAAGCACCGACGATCGGTGTCCCGGAGAAATCGGAGAAGAAACCACCGGAGGAAGACCGCGACGAACCGGAGAAAAGACGAGCCCAAGTTCCGGAGGAAGTTGCAAAGGAGGAAACCAAGGACGAGAACGAGTTGGAGGAAAAGGAACCCGAAGTTGTGAAAGAGCAGCCGGAGAAGCAACCGGAAGTTGAATCGAAACGACGGGAACGCGAGCCTGCACCCTGGCAGGAAAAGACGGAAGTCGAGAAACCGGATTCTCCGAGAGACGAGGAGAAGAAAGAGATCGAGGAAGCAAAATTGCCGTCGATGTCGGAAAGTCCGACGACGACGACGACGACGACGGCGGCGGCGGCGGCGGAGGAAAAGCCGGAGAAGAAGGAACCGGAGGAACGAGGAGAGAAGCGCGAGAAGAGGCAGCCTGAAATTCGAGAGAAACGAAAGAAGAAGCGAGCCGAACCCGTGAAAGAGGAAGGGAAGAAGCGATTCGATGTCCGAGAGAGAAAGGAGGAGAAACGAGAAGACGTTGCGGAGAAAGGAGGAGAGAAGGAACCGGAAATGGAGAAAAGTCGAGAACCGGAGCAAGCGGATATCGAGACGAGAGAAGAAGAGAAGCAACCTCGATACGGGACGAAACGGGACGAGGTGGAATCGGATGTCGAACGGAAACGAGACAAGAAGCGATCCGAAGCTGCGAAGAGAAAAGAGAATAAACAGAAGAAGAGACAACTCGAAACCGAGAAGAAGATAGAGAAAGAAGCGTCGGCGGAGCCGGCCGAGGTCGGGGACGAACGGGCGTCGAATCGGCCCGAAACGGAGGGAAGGGAAGAAACGATGCGAGAACGAAAGCCACTCGACGACGTCGCGAAGACGGAGAAGGGAGACGACCGAGACGAGAAGCGACCCGACGACGAACGGAGGCGCGATCGAGAGCGGCCCGAAACCGAAAAGGGATCGGAGAACGAGCAATTCGACGCTGAAAAGAAACTCGAGTCGGAACGGCTCGAAAATGCGAAGAGAAGGAAGGGGAAACGATCCGAGACGCGGGTCGAACGAGAGAAGAAACGGCCGGTGGCTCGAGAAAAGGTGGTCGTCGATGGCGAAAACGAGGAGGAACGGCCCGAGGGAGAGACGAGACCGGTCGAAATCGCGGAAGAGGAGAAAATCGAGGCGAAACCGGAAGCGAAATTGGAAGTCGCGCAACGATCTCCCGTAGTTTCGCGGAAAAGGGAGAGACCGAAGGGAAACGGAGATAGGAAGAAGGCGGCTGCGAAAGAGAAGCCGGAGGAGAAATCAGAGTCGAGGTTCGAGAAGGAGAAGCAGCTCGAAGCTTCGAAGGAGGACGAAACCGCGATCGAAGCGGCGGGCGTCGAAGAGCGGGAAGTCGACCGTGCGTCGGATGCGGAAAAATCGAGAGCAGAGAGATCGGAGGAACCCTCGTTGGATAATTCGGCTGGCATCGACGAGACGGAATCGTCCGAGAAACTGGAGAGCGGCGGAACGCTGGAACAAAAATTGGCCAAATCCGCGGAAGACGAGACCGTGACCGTGACCGTGACCGAGACCGAGACCGAGACCGAGACCGCGACCGCGACCGCGACCGAGAACACGGAAGAAGCGAAAGCTGGGAAATCCGGAGAACGAAAACAAACGGGGAAAGAGAAGCCCGAGACCGAAGCAAGAAGATCCGTTGCGGCGGAAAAAGAGACGAAGAAGCCGAGAAACGAGAACATCGAGGCCGACTCTTCGGAAACGAAGAAGGAACGCGACGGAAAATCGACGAAAGAAATTGTTCGAGCCGTTGAAGATTCGAAACCGGAAACGAGCGAAGAAAAGCCGATCGAGGCCTGCGCGGAAGAGGAAACGCCGGCGGGAGACGTCGTTCGGCCGGTCTCTTCGAAATCGTGGGCTTCCGTAGCGAGCGCGAAGGCAACGACGGAACCGACGGCGATCCCCTCGGAAGACTCGCGAAACGAGACCGTCGCTGGAAACCGAGAAGAACCGTCGACCGAGGTATCGAAGGTGGAAGAGCCGATGGAACGAGCGGTGGACGCCGCGCCGGACGAGCGGCGGAAGAGGAAGCAGCCGCGGAAGAGCAAGGACTCGAGGCGAGAGAGGAGCGGAGAAACGAGAGCGCGCTCCCCGGTTGAGACGAACGAGGAAGAACGAGCGGTATCCGAGGAAACGAAGTCGGAGGACGCGGCTACCGGAGAGGGAAAAATATCGTACGCTCGGGTCGCGGCTTCCGTTCGGGGAACTCCGCCTCGGGGCGCGCGGGAAGACGTCGCACCGGTGAAACCGATTCCACCGAAATCCGACCAACGCCCGGAAAAATCGTTCGAGATCGGAGCGGCGGAATTCGAAGAGGTCGACCGAGATAATGTACGAGAAGCGAAAGAAGAGGAACCCGATGCGAACGCGGAAAGGAGCGCGGAAGTTGCCACGGTGAAAGAAGCGGCGATGGAAGAGACGTGGTCTTGGGTGGAGGAGATAGAGAAGGAGGCCGAACGAGAGATGGAGAGCTTGAAAGAGAGCGAAGCTGCGCGAGAGATTCGCGGCTCGTGGGCCGCCATAGTCGGCAAACGCGCCGAATCGACCGCCGCGAGCGAGGGACGGTCTTCGGAACGAGCCGCCGCCGCCGCCGCCGCCGCTCCGGTTTCAGCTCCGATTCCAGCTCCGATTCCAGCTCCGATTCCAGCTCCGGTTCCAGCTCCGGCTCCGGCGGTGCGGATAGTCGTGGAGGAGGCTCCGGAGCCGGTTCCCATCGAGGAAGTGGTTCGGATCGACGAGCAAGGATTCGTGGAGGTCGTGAACAGAAGGGAGCTGAGATCCAGACGATCCAGATCGCGATCCAGAAGCGCGAGAAGAGACGAGAAGCGGCCGATCGAGAAACCCGTCGACATCCTCGGTGGCGCGAGCGCGGAACGGAACGGATCGGGAGACGACGGCTCTTCGTCGAAAGCGGGCGAGACGATCGAGAAGGAGAAGCCGAAGAAAAGAGACGAGTCGGGCAGGAGCGACGTCGAGGCGAGAGAGGATCGAGAAAGCGGCGAAGCGGAGCCCCCGAAGGAGAAGGCCGAGGGAAGGGACGACGCGGACGCGGACAAGGTGAAAGGAGAGAAAGGAGGACGAGTCGACGAGCGAGGATCGAAGGAAACGGAGAAAAGAGAGACGAAGGTGAAGGACGGCGAGGTGCCTCGAGAAACGATCGACGGCGAGAAAGAGAGCAACCTCGACGAGATGGCGCGGCCGACCGAGGAAGAGACGGGGGCCGAACGGAAGCTCGAAGAACCCGCGAAACTCGAATCCGTCGAGATAGGCGAGTCGAAAGAAATTCGCGAAAAGAAGGTCGAAGGGCCGGCGAAGCGGGAGGTCGACGAACGATCGACGAGTTCGAGGAAGAATAAAAAGTCGAGGAAAGGAAAGTCCGACGACAAGGAGCAACAGAGAGGAGCGAGCGTCGCGAAGAAGGAGGAAGCGTCTTCGGTGAAAGGCGAGAATCTCGAATCGAAGGAAAAGACCGTTTCCGTCGCGAAGGAGCTCGAGGTCGGGGTCGAGGCCGAGACCGAGGAAAGAAAGGAAGAGGCGAAACACGCTGAGAAGTCTGCGAAAGAAGACCGGCTCGAAGTCGTTTCGGAGACGCGTTCGGAGAAGCCCGAGGTACCCGAACGACGCGAAGGAAAATCGCAAATCGAGACGACGGAGAAGCCGCTCGAACGGAGAAGCGAGGCTGCGGTTGAAAAAGAATCGGAAGCCGAGAAAGAGCCGAATCGAGAGAAAATCGATGGAAAGGCGGGAGAATCGATCGACGAGTCGAAAGCGAGCGTCGCGGAGGAGAAGAGCGAGACGACGGTCGAATCGGAGCCGGAACGCGAAGAAGCGTCCGCGCTTCCCGAAACGCCTACGGAAGAGACGGTCTCCGACGAGAAGGCGATCGCGAGGGAGGAACAGCCTCGGATGGAAGGAAAAGCGAAGCTGTCCAAACGAGAGAAGAGGAAACAGAAGAAAAAAGAGAAATCTGCTTCGAGAGGAGTCAGCGAAGAAAAAGACAAGCCGGTTGAAATCGTTCGGGACGGCGTCGTCGCCGTTACCGTCGACGAACCGGTGGTTCGAGACGAAGCGATCCTCGCGGAGTCTCCGAAATTGAAAGAACAGCCCGCCGAAACTCCGGAAGAAACCGTTGCCGACGATCGAGCTACCGGGCAGGATCGAATCGAATCGAAGCAAGAGGTCGTGGAAGTCATCCGCGAGATAGTTAACCGCGAGAGCAAGGATGGATCGGTTTCGAGAGGCGAGGAGAAAACGGAGAAAACGGAGAAAACGGAGAAAACGGAGAAAGCGGAAGAAACGACCGAGAAGGAAACGGTCGTGCCGGAAACGAAGGGAGAGCGAACGGAGATTCCGAAAGCGGTCGAGGTATCGAAGAAAATCGAGAAGAGATTGGAAACGGCGGTCGAAGAAAAATTGCAGACGCCGAAAGCGACCGTGGAGCAGCGATCGCGAGCGCCAACGTCGACCGAAGGAGAATCCGGAGCGTCGGAGGCGATCGAAGAGAAATTCGAATCTCCGAAAGCGATCGAAAAGGAATTAAGAGAAACCGAAATTTCCGAAGAAACGTCGGTTGCGGCGCGAGACGAGTCCCCGGCAGCCTCCAAGGATAAATCGAAACGAAAGAGCGAGCAAGCGAAGAGAGGAAAACGCGAGGACCGGGAACCGGAGCCCGCGGACGGAGCGGCCGATCGAGGATCTTCGCCGAAAGAGGAGACGCTCGAAGTCGGCGGTGCTCCCGTCGCGAGAGAAGATGCTCGAGAAGAGAAGCTGGACGAAGCAAAGACCGAAGCAACGATGGAACGAGCGGCGGAGTCGAAAACTCGCGAGGAGCCGGTCGTCCCGAAGGCCGCGGTATTTGAGAAGAAAGCGAACACCGAAGTCGAGGTTGAGGTCGAAGGCGGTGGGACGGTCGCGAGCGCACCGACCGCGGAATCCGAGCGCGAGGATCCGCCCGAAACGAAGGTGGAGACGACTCTGAAAAAATCGACGAGAATCGACCGCATACAGGATCCGGACGAGCGACTCGAGGAGACTTCTCGGACGGACGAGGTGGAAAGGTCGGCGAAAGAAGCGAAAATCGAAGAGAAGGACGACGACGAACCGATCGATCGTTCTTCTCGGCCGAAGGAACCGGAAAAGTCCGAGGAGGAAGCGACGATCTCGGAAGAATCGACGCCGATAGAATCGTTGGAAAAGCCGACGGAGCCGAGACCGGCCGAGGAACCCGAAGAGAGGATCGCGGACGCGAAGACGGAGAAAGCGAGCGAAAAGAAAGACGGACCGACGGACTCGACGTCGGACGAGATCGACGTCTCGCCGATCGAGACGGACTCGCGGCTCGACGTCGAACGAGAGTCCGAGAAGCGGGTCTCGACGGAGCCGGAGATCGAGATCGAGATCGAGACCGAGACCGAGACGGACGACGTCGCGACCGAGTCGAAGCAGCCGAAGGTGCGGTTCTACATAGCCGACGAGATCCTGGTGCTGAGTCCCGAGAAAAAGAGACCTCGACCGACCCTGATCTTGAAAACGTACCCGGAGCCGAGCAAATCGGAATTCCTGTCGCAGGACACCGGCTTCTGGCCGGACAAGCACCCCTATCACGAAGCCGAACGCTACCTGTTCGAGAACCTCGCGAACTACGCCGAGGAAGATACCGCGGATCTCGATTTCCACGGTCCGGACGACTTCGACGAGGATCGCGACGGGGGGGCGAACGGTCGCGGGGGTCGCGGGGATCGCGGGGATCGCGGGGGCAACGGCGGCCCCGCGAACTCGTTCTTCGCGGGGGGACCGCAGACGGAGCGTCTGATCGCCGATCTTCCCGGGGGTATAGGCAGTTGGAGCGATTACAGCACTTACTTGTCGAGCGAAAACGAGAAACCGGTCGAGAGTTCGGTGCTGCTCGATCGAGGGGGGACCGACGCTTCGGTCGCGTTCGAGCTTTCAGGGAGCGAACTCGCTCGGGGATCCTCCGATCTGTTCGATGGATCGGAGTCTTTGGCCCAGGGAAGGACGTTGTCGTCGTCGTCGTCGTCGTCGTCGTTGTCGCTTTCCATCGATCGGGCCTCCTCTCGGACCTTTTGTCGCGCCGAGAGCCGCTCGGCAGGGTTGGACGACGGCGAGGCCGTCGTCGCCGATCCAGTCGATCCAGTCGATCGATCCTCCATCCCCAGTCCCGACACCCGTCCCAAGGACCATTTAGGTAGAGAGAACGGTGCTGCGCAGCGGAAGACCCCGACCGCGGTGCTATCCGAGGACGCTCAGGCCGAAAAGAGGACACGAGGGATCAAGGTGCGACCACGACGCAACCGGCGGCGCTCGACCGAGCTCGATCCTTCGAGCGGAGTCGCGTTTGCGCGTATGTGTGCCGTACGCTCGAGTGTGCGCGTGTATGCCGTGTACCGCCGGTTTTTCTTGACGTTTGTTCTTGTTCTTGTTCCTGTTCCTTTTGTTGTTTCGATTGTTCGTTTCGTTGTTACCTTTTCCGTTCGCGACGCCGCTCTCGCGAAGGTTTTTTTCTTTAACCGTGTGTGTTTGCGCGCGCGCGCGCGTACCGCTGATCGTATCGCTTCTCCAAACCTCTGTGCTTCGAATCCGTTTCTCTGCAACGCTGGTTCTCACCGCCTTCCACGACCGTTTACCGTATGCGCTAACAAATTTTGCCCGCGCCTCGACGACGCTACCCGCTTCTTACCATTTTTGTATCGCTTGGCCGCGGAGGAACGCTTCCGGTTCGAGCGATCGGTTCTACCGAAACGGTGGTCGGAAGCGTCGCGGTACACGCTTCGCCGCGACGAAATTCCTGCCATCGTTCTTCTCGGGACGGATCGACTCGTCCGCGAAGCCTCTCTCCGACAGCGGCGGTGGTTGGCTGCTCCGCATGACTCCGTAGACTAGAAACGCTTGAACGTTACTTGATTTTCGGCTTGCGTCGCGGTTCGGAAAACTTTCGAACGCGCGTACATCGTACGAGTGTTTGTTTTTGGTGTCGAGAAACTTTTTGTTTTCGAACGTCTCGAGACGTTCGTCGAGAATCGTTCGACGACGCTCCCGCCGTTGCGCGTCTCTCTCGCGGTCTCGTGGAATCGGTACCCTTTCGAACGGCCTCCGCGTCGTTCTCCGACGACTCGTTTACTTTTTTCCTCTTTCTTTTTTTCTTTTCCCTTTTTTTCGAGACCGCGACGCGCACCCGTCCGCGAACGGATTCCTCTTTCGCGTCGTTCGGTTCCCCGATGCCGATCCATCGAGTAATCAACGAGATGCGAGTCGAAGTTCGCGTGCACGCTGCCGATCCTCCGCCTCGCGGAACCGATGCGACGGTGTTCGTTAACCGACCGCTGTGTTGCAGGACATCATTCAGGAGCGCCTAATGGTTTTACAGCTGAGTCTGTCGAACTTGAAGGGAACCCGCTTGCCGCGAGATAGCATCGACTCCATGCTGGCCGCACTGACGGTAACAAATTATAATCGTCGCGAAGCCTCTCGATTCGCGCCGTTCCGATCGACGCATCGGACGCGTCCGAGTTCCAGACGTTTCGGCCGCCGGCCGAATCTCTGGAACTCGGCGAAAGTCCGTCGTCGATCGTCGAGCAGCATCCCGTTCGAAGAATCGTTCACCGGCCCGAGTAGACGAACGAAACGTGAAATTTCAGGATCTGTCGCGGCAGCTGCGGTCCCACGAGACGGAAGCCGACGACCTGGAGGAGCTGGTGCGCGAGATCCCGGCGGACAACGAGTCCCAGAGGCTGCTGGCGAACCTGACGGAAGTACGAACGCGGATCGCGACACTGCTGTCGCAAACGGAAGAGGGCCGAGCCACCCTCGAGGCCTCGCGCGACCATCGCGAGCAACGCGGCCACGACATTCGCGCCTACAAACGATTCTTGGACGAGACCGACGCTTGGTTGAAGGACATCGTCGCCGGCATGAGGGAAGAGCCGCCTATTTCCGCGAACAAGGTGCGTTCGTAGAAGTATTTACGTAGCTCGAGCTTGAACCGCGAAAAAAATTCGATGCGATCGCGCGAAACTAAACGGGTTGCGGAAGAATTCGTTTCTCTTTAACACGGTTTGCACGCGAATTCTGGGAAACTACGTTCCGGTAAATTTTCTCTCTCTCTCTCTCTCTCTCTCTCTCTCTCTTTCTCCGTGCCCGACCTCGTTCGTTGAAAATCGGTGGAGAAAGCGAAAAGAGGGTTGTCGCGATCGATGTTTCCAAACGTTTTCGACGATCTCGTCGGATCGAACTTTTGGTCTCGCGCGGTCCGAGTTTAAAATATCGGCAGGTCGATTCGACTCGTAAAAATTGACGAATAGCCCCGAAAACTCGCGATATCTCGAAACTTTCATTTTTTTTCTCCACCGAACGAGCTGTACCGTATCGTTGGCGCGCGATCCGGACGCGGGCTGCTTCGAGTCGCGCCGACTATTTCGATCGACGGAGCCAATTCCTCGTCGCAAACCGTATCAACCGTGGTGTTTCGAGATCGATCGGCTTCCGGGCCGCGTAGTCGATTGTTTTCTCGGCGCCGGCGCGATGTCGCCGTAATCCCCGGTTTTAAAATACCTGCTTCGCGATTTATTTATAATCGACGATCGCGGACATGAAACGGAAAGAGAGAGTGCGAGAGAGTGAGAGAGAGAGAGGGGGAAAGAGGAAGAGAGAGGAAGAGGAGGCATTGTAGGTGTCTGTGCGAACAGGCTTTGCAGGACGAGCTGAGCAGTCACGCGCAGCGCGTGTCGGAGCTCGAGACGCTGCCAGAAATCAGCACGCTGGCAAAGGTCCTGAAGAATGCGCTGTTGGAGGTGATGTCGCGTCTGCGGCAAAGGGAGCAGGTACCCAACGTTTTCCAATGCTCGGGGGCTTTCGCAAACTTCGCTGGTGTTCGCGCGACGGTTTCGCGAGGTATCGCGACGGTAGCGGGACGCGTGGATGGAGCAACGGGAAAGAAAGACGAACGAAAATACGGGACTCGACTCGACCGACTCGATTCGAACAATTTTCGCTGTCCAATTTCAATTTCGTAAATCGAATGCCTCGCTCGGGCGTTCGGCTCGAAACGACTCGAATTCGTCGACTAGAATTACGAGCAGATTCGTCCGAAGCAAAGTTTCGAGCACGATTTCCACGTAGCTGCGACGATCGTCGAGGTTCGTTCGGGGAGTATTTAAAAACGATCGAAGTTTGCCTCGAGCGACGGAAGACCGTCGAAGAGAAAAAGCTGATTCGTAAAAAGCACGTTCTCCGGTATCGCGACCGGGTCCGGTAGCTGCCAGTCGTTTGTCGGTCGTCCAGTCCGATCTAGTCCGATCTAGTCCGATCTAGTCCAGTCCAGTCTATCCGATCGTTTCGAAACGAGGAAAACGCGATCGTTCGATCTCTCGCCGCGAAGCGACGAACGTTGCTCGCTACGCGTACAAGGGACGAGATACGTTTTGCGTTACCGTACGGCGAGAGGATCGTTGGAAGCATGTAATATATTTGTTGTTTCGCTGCTTAGACGTAGTTATTTATGTTTCGTCGCTACCTTTCATTTTGCACGATTATATTATGGGTAATCTAGATGGTTCGGGAACGCCGTTCGCGTTCGCACGTAGTCGCCGCGTTAAGAGGCTTCTCATCGCGCAACATCATTTATGTTATTATTATCATTATCATCGTCATCGTCTTCATCGTCATCGTAATCGTCGTTACCATCGTCATCGTCGTCATTGTCATCGTCATCGTCATCGTCATCGTCATCGTCATTGTCGTTGTCGTCGAAATCGGACTGCGGACCCTCGACGATAATATTTTCTGTTCGTACATTAAAATTCAGATTCGAGGAGGATACGCGCTTCCCAACGAACGAAATGAATTCGAGCGTTCTTTGGGTCTCGATCGCGACCGACGAAATCGATGAAATATTTTCGATCGGACGCGAAACGGCGTATTCGAAATTTGTTCGAGTCGCGGAAAGTTCGACGAACGATCGGAATCGTTTCGTCCGCGGTTGAATGAAAATCCGATCCGGTCCGGCAGCGAATCGATCGAGATCGAGCCAAAGAGGGAGGAAGCGCGAGGTTCGTCGAGCTTTATTCGATTAAACTTGGACGAACCCGAACGTCGTCGTCCGCGGTCCGCGCATCCTTCGTCGACCTCGCGTTTCTATTTTTTTTTCTCTCGCATCGCGTCATACCTTGTATTATTTATAACACACTTTTATGTTCCTCTAGCTTAAGGTGTAATGGATGTAATATATAAATATAGGCCACGACGTTTTGTCCAAGGAATGTTGACACGTTGTTACTGTACTTTTTTTCATGCAATTAAAGTATTCTCATCGATTCCCACCTGCCCCCCCCCCCTTTATTTTATCCCCCCGTTCGACCGTTACGCGCGACGCCCAACGACAACGAACGTTGTCGACGTACGCGCGCCTCCGCGCGGTACGCGCGAAACGACAGGAGCCGAGGACAATTTTCCGCGCGCGTACGCGAGCGTAGGAGAAGAGGAAGCACGCTCGATGGCGCGGTGTCTCCGCGAAATGAAAAATTTGTCGATACGATGGAAAAGTTTGGGGCGCGCGCGCGCGCGCCCGACGACGATACTTGTACGTATCGAGAAAACGGTCGGTGAGAAAGACCTCTAAACTCGCGAATATCTCGAAGCGTTCGAAATTCGCGTACCCGGGCAGGCGTCCGACCGACCGTACGCGCTCGCATTCCTTTTCGTTTACGGAGGTACGCGTGCCACCACGTGATCGGGCGAAGCGCGAGCGCGCGCGTCCGAAATAGACGCGTTACCGTAATGTCGACCGTCGTCGGCATTCGTTCAACGTTCGATTCTAAAAATACGACGCCGTTCGGCGGAGCGCCGTTGCTCGCGGCCGGCGGTTCGCGCTCGCGGATATTCTCGTCCTCGGCCTCTGGTTCTAGCCGCGACCGTGTTCGTTCCCGTGCTCCCCCGTGCTTCCCCGTGCTCCCCCGTGCTCCACCGTGCTCACCAGTGCTCGTCGTCTCCGTTCCCCATGGCCACCTTGCAGCGATAACGGCCGCAGCGCCGGCAAACTCCGAAACATATTTTCGGCTCGCGCAACGAATCCAGCCGCCCGATGGCGCGGCGTAACAAAAACCAGTGACTAACCTTGCCAACGGCGCATCGTCGACGGCGGACTGCTATCGACGACGTCGTCTGCGCCCCATGCCCTGTGTCGTCGCTTTCTCATACGTCTCGTGATTAATCGGCTTCGCCGTTCGCGCGTGGAAGACGATCCTGTGATTAACCGAGCGAATCGGACGCAAACACGATACCATGGTAAACGTTGCACGTTCGATCGTTTCTTTCGTTCAGCCAGCTTTCGAGTAGCAATTGCATGCGCAGCAATCACGGTAGCTTTGCTTCGAGACGAGGCTGGATCCTCGGACGACGGTGCTTGGCTTGGGTCTGTCGGAATGAATTTTCTAGCGAATCGAATTTGGCTTTCGGTCGAATGGTTCCGTTCCGGGAACGAAATGCTCGTCTTCTATCTTGGGCGATATCTCGAACGGGCGGATTCCATCGACGCGTATGGACAGAGGGGGGTGGGGGGTTGGCGCCCCCCTTTAAAAAGAAACTTTGACCTCGGACAAAAATTAATCTATAGTTTACTTTGGACCGAGATTCGAAAATATCAGATTACGTTTCCGCCGGTTCCGTCGGCGCGCACCGACGGTGATGTAAACTGTATGTCGAAGATATCGCGATACACCATCGCCGATGTCGTTGGAACACACCGCGCTCCGACCGTTAGCGATCCCAGTACCGCGTATACGATGTAAGACGCGACGAATGACCGTCTCTGATTTTCAGTCGCCGGTCTCTCGGTTGAATTCGGTCGCTCTCGAATAAAAGTAAAAAATAAAGCTTTTTAAGAAAAAGAATTAATATCGTATTCGCTTGAGAAATAATCCAAGCCGTAATCCCAAGAATCTCGAAGGGAATTTGTAGACGCGCGCGGAACATCGACATCGACATCGACATCGACGTTCGACTCGACCGAAATTTGTACGGACGACGGTGACTCGAATTCGCGAAGGCACGATTCGATCGGCGCCGACGTTTTCCGAACGGCCGANTGTCGACCGTCGTCGGCATTCGTTCAACGTTCGATTCTAAAAATACGACGCCGTTCGGCGGAGCGCCGTTGCTCGCGGCCGGCGGTTCGCGCTCGCGGATATTCTCGTCCTCGGCCTCTGGTTCTAGCCGCGACCGTGTTCGTTCCCGTGCTCCCCCGTGCTTCCCCGTGCTCCCCCGTGCTCCACCGTGCTCACCAGTGCTCGTCGTCTCCGTTCCCCATGGCCACCTTGCAGCGATAACGGCCGCAGCGCCGGCAAACTCCGAAACATATTTTCGGCTCGCGCAACGAATCCAGCCGCCCGATGGCGCGGCGTAACAAAAACCAGTGACTAACCTTGCCAACGGCGCATCGTCGACGGCGGACTGCTATCGACGACGTCGTCTGCGCCCCATGCCCTGTGTCGTCGCTTTCTCATACGTCTCGTGATTAATCGGCTTCGCCGTTCGCGCGTGGAAGACGATCCTGTGATTAACCGAGCGAATCGGACGCAAACACGATACCATGGTAAACGTTGCACGTTCGATCGTTTCTTTCGTTCAGCCAGCTTTCGAGTAGCAATTGCATGCGCAGCAATCACGGTAGCTTTGCTTCGAGACGAGGCTGGATCCTCGGACGACGGTGCTTGGCTTGGGTCTGTCGGAATGAATTTTCTAGCGAATCGAATTTGGCTTTCGGTCGAATGGTTCCGTTCCGGGAACGAAATGCTCGTCTTCTATCTTGGGCGATATCTCGAACGGGCGGATTCCATCGACGCGTATGGACAGAGGGGGGTGGGGGGTTGGCGCCCCCCTTTAAAAAGAAACTTTGACCTCGGACAAAAATTAATCTATAGTTTACTTTGGACCGAGATTCGAAAATATCAGATTACGTTTCCGCCGGTTCCGTCGGCGCGCACCGACGGTGATGTAAACTGTATGTCGAAGATATCGCGATACACCATCGCCGATGTCGTTGGAACACACCGCGCTCCGACCGTTAGCGATCCCAGTACCGCGTATACGATGTAAGACGCGACGAATGACCGTCTCTGATTTTCAGTCGCCGGTCTCTCGGTTGAATTCGGTCGCTCTCGAATAAAAGTAAAAAATAAAGCTTTTTAAGAAAAAGAATTAATATCGTATTCGCTTGAGAAATAATCCAAGCCGTAATCCCAAGAATCTCGAAGGGAATTTGTAGACGCGCGCGGAACATCGACATCGACATCGACATCGACGTTCGACTCGACCGAAATTTGTACGGACGACGGTGACTCGAATTCGCGAAGGCACGATTCGATCGGCGCCGACGTTTTCCGAACGGCCGAGAAAATTCGATCGGAAGAGAGCAAAGGTGGCCGCGGCGCGAGGGCCGCGCGAAAGAAAACTCCGGGGATTCCGGGGATTCCGGGGATCCCTGGGATTCGAAGGAAACGAACGCGTAAGCGAAACGGGCAGAGGAGAGATCAGCAGGTGCGTTTTCCGGTTTTCCAGGAGATCCGCGACGAGGAAGCGCGAGCGGACGAGGAGACGTCGGAGCGAGAGGACGCCACCCTCGACCAGGCACCGTCTCTGCACTCTTCGCCGGAGAGCGGCGCGCCGTCCCTGTTGGACGTCTCGCTGCAGACGGGCCGGAGCCTGCTGCTGGCCGACGAGGTCGCGGAGAAGCCCGAGCGATCGAGCAAACAAACGTCGACGAACCGGGAATTATTGGATCGTCGCTCGTTGACCACTCAAACGTCGGAGACCGCCGCCGAGGGCCCGGAGACGCGGGAAACGATCAAGATCCTGAAGAAAACGGACGGCGAGCACGACGTGATCGAGATAGCGACGAAGAACCGGCCCTCCGCGTCCGGCCAAGAGATCGTCCGGGAAGGATCGGTCGGCCCGCCGGAGGAGATCCTGGTGGACATGAGGTACAAGGACCCGAGGAACGCCGAGGCCACCACCAGCGAGCTGAACATCGTGCACGCGGCTCCTCGGGCCTTCGAGACGGTCCTGGTGGAGCCGGACGACGTGACCACGGAGGTGGTGGTCGACGAGGACGGTTCGAGGAGAATCGTCGTGAGAAAGTTGAGGAAGAGGACGGTGACGACGAGCGGTCGGACCGCGCGGCAACACCTGTCGTCGTCGACGACGACGGCGATCGGGGACGGCCCCGCGGTGGTGCAGGCGTTCGCGGACGCCAGCTTGAGGGACCAGCGGGTCACCGTGACCACCCGGAAACCCGACGGCACCGTCGAGACCACCACCAGACGGATCTACGGCGGCAGAGTCGCCACGGGGACGCCCCACGCGGACGCGGACACCGGCGCCGACGCGGGCGCGTACGCGAACGTGGAGGAGTACGAGTCGGCGCCGAGGTACGCGCGCACGGTCGCTCGAGGCGACTTCGAGGACCTCGGGGTGCCTCGTCCGCCGGCGGTGGAAGGGGCGCCGACCGAGGAGGACGGAGAACTGCGGTCGAAAACGTCGAGCGTGCACGCGGTGGTGGAGCAGGTGACCAGACGAGTGGTTAGAAAGACGAGGCGGATCGTGCGCAAGGTGACGGTCGTCGACGGAAAGGAGACGGCGACGGAGGAGGTGATAGAGGAACCCGAGGAGGTGGAGATCGACGAGAAGAGCATTCCTCGGATCAGCATCAACGTGGAGAAACGGGAGGAGCGCAGGACGCTGGGCGGCGACGGACGCCCCTGTTCCCCGGTGCTCGAACAGCGATCCGCCGGGGACGAGAGGAGCGCCGACGACGCGCCGCTCCAAGGACCGTTCTTCGGGGCGTTCGCCAAGGACATGCCACCCTCGGAGTATCCTGCGCCCGAGGCGGACACCGGCGAGCGGGGCTCGATCGTCGCCGAGGCGATCTCCGACACCGAGACGGCCGAGAAGGGAGAGGACGCGACCGTTCCGGAGCCAGCGAGTCCTCGAGAGTCGTCGCGGTCGCGGTCGCTGTCGCCGTCCTCGTCGTTGTCGAGGAAAAAAGGCGAACCAACGGACAAGTACGAAGCCGAGCAGTTCCGGATCGAGGTAAAGGACGAGCGACGAATGCCGGACAGCCGCGCGTTCGCCGATGCTGAAGCGTTGTCGTGCTCTGCTTCGCAGAGTTCGATGCAAGAGGTGAAAGTGCGAGAGACGCCGGAGGATTCGGTCGCCTCGCCGATCGATTCCATCGCGTCGGACGCGCCGTCCGTCGAGAAGGCGACTTGTAAGTCCGTCGATGCACCCGTACGAGGCGAAACAGCCGATATCGAGGTAGATGGTCGCACGGTAGATGTAGAAATGCACCGCGACACCCCCGCCGGCACCGTAGATACCGGCGACGAGCCTTCGCCTTCGGTCGGAGAGGAACCGACGAACCCGGAGGCGCCGGCGGACCTACAGACCGTTCAAATTTCAGGAAGGAAAGCCGAACGGACGAAGGGAGCCACGGTCGAAGAGAGCGTCGAACCGAAGAGGGACGCGTCGCCCACCGAGAAACAGCGGCTGGTCAAGGCTTCGTTCGTCCCCGAAGCCGAGCCCGAATTCGAGCCGGAGTACGAGTGCGCGGACGAGGCCCTGAAGCCGGAGTACAAGCCGACGCAGCAGCCGTTCGAGAAGGTCGAGATCTCGCTGGCGGTGAGGAAGGAGGGCGGCGAGGAGGTGCAGCCGACGGTGTCCGTGAAGAGCCGAGCCGAGCCGGTCGGTCCTCCGTTCCGCCTGGTCGAGGAGGACGTCGACATCAGGCTGCCGGCCGACAGAGAGGAGGTCGCGGTGATTCGCGACAAGATCGTTCAGACGTCGCCGCTCTGGTTCCAGCGAACGGAACGCGACGCTTCGGAAGCGGAGGCTGCCGCGACCGAGCCCGAGCCCGAGCCCGAGCCCGAGCCCGAGCCCGAGCCCGAGCCCGAACCCGAGGACGAGGGAACCAAGTCGAGCTCGACGATATCCAACGTCGCGGAGTCGCTGGAGATCGAGGTGTTGCTCTCGGACTCGTCGAAACGAGCCACCGAGACGCCGCGACCGGACATAGGCGAGATGACGGAGGCGGATCTGGAGTCGCCGCTGAGGGACGAGACGTCGAGGGGCGAGGACGGATACCGGGCGGACGACAGGACGCTGACGTCGAACGCCGCGTCCGTGGACGAGATCGCGACGACGACGACGAAGAAGAAGAGGAGAAAGAAGAGGAAGGACCGGGTCAGAGGCGCGAAAGACGAGGAGCACACCGAGTTCCCGAAGACGACCAGCGACGACTCCGAGTACAGCGACGAGGCGGCACCGCCGGACGCCGAAGAGGCCGTCAAGGCGACCAAGAAGAAAAAGAAGAAAAAGAAGAGAGAGGAGAAGGCGGCGGAGGTTCGTCGGATCCGGGCGGACGATCGGACGACGACGGTCGTTCGCGAGTTCGTCTCGGTCGCGACCTCGCCGAAGCAGGAGCCAGCGGCCGAGGCGGCCGAGGCGGCCGCGCAGACTTCCCCTCGGTCTCCGGAGCCGGTTCGCAGCAGGGTCGAGGAGGCTATCGCGGAAACGCAAACTTCTCCGGAACCGCTGCTGCCGGACGCGATCGTCGAGTCGAAGGTTCGCGAAACGCAAACGTCTCCCGACGCCGCGGCGAGCAACGCGGACGAAGCGACGCAGACTTCGCCGCGGCCCGCGGAGAATACGGCCGAGGCGGGAACGAGCCGCGAGACGGGAACGTCTCCGAAACCCGCGACGCCCGAACCGGAGGAGGTCGACCGAGAGGCGCAGACCTCCCCCCGAGTCGCCGAGGAGTCGAAGGAGACGCAGGTGCCGAGGACGGAGGAAGTCGACGAAGAGGCGCAAACGTCGCCGGAGCCCGCGGCGGCCAAGCCGGAAGAGATCGACCGGGAAGCGCGGACGTCTCGAATCGACGAGGAGTCGAGGGGGACGCAGGTGCCGAAGCTGGACGAGGTCGACGAGCGGGTTCAGACGTCTCCGCCGGTTCCCGACGCGAAGGAGACGCAGGTGCCGAGGCTGGAAGAGGTCCACGAAGCCGTGCAGACGTCCCCTACGAACGCGGCGGAGGTCCACGAAGCGGCGCAGACCTCGCCTCGAGTCGCCGAAGAGTCGAAGGAGACGCAGGTGCCGCGAACGGAGGAGGCTCACGTTCGGATCCAAACGTCCCCGTTGCCCGGGACGGACTTTGCCGGCCAGACCGCGAGCTCGGATCCCGAGACGAGAACGGTTCGGCACGTCGAGATGCAGACTTCTCCGCTTCCGGCGACGGACTCCGCGGTCCAGGCCGCCGTCGAGGCGACGCCGGTCGGCGAGACGGCCACGCAGACGCCTCGGACGCGGCTCGAAGAGTACGCCGCGCAGACGAGTCCCGTCGAAGAAGCGGCCGTCGTCCCCCCCGCCGAGACCGAAGAAACGCAGGTTCAAACGGTCCCGACGGAAACGGTGTCCATCGAGGCGCAGACGTCGCCGACGTCTCGGCCGGCGGAGACGGAGACCCAGACCGTCGAGAGAACTTTGGCGACCGTTGGACAGCAGACGACGCCTCCGCCGCCGCCGTCGCCGCCGTCGCCGGACGAGACGAAGAGCCTGGCCGGCGTCGCCGTTCAGACCGTCGCGGCGGAGGAAACGGTCGAGACCGAGTCGCAGACCAGCGCGCCGGCGAGTCCGGAAAAGATCGCGGTACGGTTCGACGTCCGAGCGGATTCGACGGAGCAACCGTCGACGGCCGAAGAGAGTTCCAGGCCCGCCGATGCCGTCGTCGAGCCCGCGAGTCCGACCGAGACGACGACGACGGACTCGAACGTTCGGACGGATCCGATCGAGCGTCCGTCGGTCGAAACGGCGCAGACCCAGACGACTCCCGAGCAGAGTCCCAGGCGCGCCGAGACCCAGGAAACCGAGTCCCAAACGGTCGAACTCGCGATAACGCCGACCCGCGAACCCGCCGAGAAGACCCCCCCGGATTTGGATATCGTAGCAGATTCGACGGCGATGGAACCGCCGCCGATGATCGCGACGCAGACCCAGACTACGCCCGTGGACAGTCCCGGACGGCTCCCCGAGAGCCGAGAAACGGAGTCTCGGACCGTCGAACCCGCGGGTCCGGAAAATATCCCGCGACCGATCCCGTGCGAGCCGCCGGAGGAAACGACGACGCGGGCCAGTCCGGAGACCGTTTCTCCCGTCGAGATCGATGCCCGCGATCTTCCAGCGGTTACCGAGCCGCGGGAGCCCGAGCCCGAGCCCGAGCCCGAGCCCGAGCCCGAGCCCGAACGGACCGGTTCACCGGACAGAATCGAAACCATGGACAGTTCGGTGCAGATCGAGTTGGCGCCGAGGGTCGACGAGAGCGCGCAGATCGTTCCCGAGACTCGCGACGACGCAGCGCAGACCGCTGCCGAGACCAGGGAGCTCGCGTCCGTCGCCCAGCAGACCGACGGACCGTCCCGGACGGAAGAACGAGGAGCGGAGATCGAGGAACCGAGCTTCCCGGAAGCAGCGTCGACGCGGGAGACGGCTGCGGAGTATGCCGAAATTCCAGTAGCACCTGATGTACAAGTACAAGAGACCGAAGGCGACGCCGATGGAAGATGGGCGCCCGAGGCGGTCGAGACGACCGAGACGGCCGAGGCGCCCGTAGCGCTCGAGAAGCCCGAGGAGTCCGAGGAGCCCGAGTCGTTCGAGATTCGGCTGCGGGCGACCATAGAGCTGTCGGACACGACCGACAGCGGCGGCAAGCCGACGGACGGTTCGCTGGACCCCAGCACCGCGGACGAGGTGGCGGCAGTCGTTGCGCTGCCCAGAGAGGACGGGAACGCCGCGAAGAGGCAGAAAAGGAAGAGGAGGCACAAGACGATCGAGATCTCGTCGACGGTGGACAAGGATCTCGGATCCATCTTCGGACAGCCGACCGAGTCGCCCGACGTCTCCCTGAAGCTGTCCTACTCCGACGTCGCCAAAAAGAACGCCAAGGAGAAGTCCCCGCTGGGTGACGGCCGCTCGCCGAAGCCGTCGAAGCTGCCCGACGTCGGGGAGGCCGAGTTCGCCGCCGAGGAGGGCCCGGAGGGAGGAGGAGGTGGACCGTCGTTCGCGATCGCCGAGAAGATCGGCTCGCCGAGGACGGCGTCTTCGCCGGAGCCCATGGACACCACCGAAGAGCCGGGTTCGTTTTCGCCCGTGGAGAGCGGGGAAAGCGCGCCGCGGGAAGAAGAGCCAGGAGCCGAGATCGAATCCTCGAAGAAGTCGTCGTCGTCGGAGCAGCAGCCGACGTGGGTCGGCAGCGGGCTCGTCGAGAACATCTCGAGAAGCGTGCAGAGTCTCGAGGACGCCAGGTCCAGCCATTTGGGAAACATCCTGCACATCGCTCATTTGGAGAAAGTGGCCGCCGCGAGACCCGAACGGGAACGGATCGACCTCGAGAAGGAGCTGTCCTACTTGATGCGCGCCGCCAAGGAAAAAGACTCGGATACCGTGGAGGAGGAGCTCCTCTACGTCGTGAACGCGATATCGACGAACATGTGGTCCATCGAGTACAGGATCTTCTTGGAGAAGGAGTGTCCCAGCGGATCGTACGGAGAGAAACGGACGTACGACGCGATCGAGAAAGACTTGCAGCACGCGGAGAACGATATTCTCAAGGTGGAGGAAGCGTGGCGGCGAGTCCGGACCATCTGTCCCGAGGAGGACCGTGCCAATCTGCAGGAATGCCTCGATACGCTGACGCGTCATCTCGGCGCGATCAAGGACGCCGTGGACGACGACGACGACGACGGCGACGACGGCGACGAGGGGAGGTACTCGGCCGGGAAGGTGACCAGGTGGGACGAATTCGTCGGTGGCGCGCGCAACATTTACAGGTAAGCGTTTTTTCGAGTTCGGGGTAGTAACTTGGACGCCGCTCGGCTGATCGAAAACGAATATCGGTGTCGCGCGCACAGATTGGTGGAAGAGCAGCGGGTCCAGCTGAGCCAACTGATCGAGTTCGAAGCGTCCGCCGCGTGGAAGCTGCAGGAGCTGGAGAAATTCGAGAACACGAATCGCAGCCACGCGTGGAAGACGACGGACCTGCTGACCGCCTCTCGCGAGCTGCTGCGAAGTCATCCCGGCAAACGGATCCCCGAGGAGATCTACGCCGCCCACGAGCTCACCGAGACGATCGAACGCGACGCGGTGATCGAACGGGATCGTCTTTTGCAGCTGCTGGCGCTCGCCGAGGAATACGAACAGACGCTCAAGGATTTCGCTCAGATCACCGAGGTCGCGGAGAATCTGCTGGGGAGTCCGATATCGGTGACCAGTCTGGAACATCTTCGGGAGGAGATGCAGAAGCACAGAAAGTTCTTCGTCAATCTGAATCATTGCCGAGCGATCCTGGAGTCGCTGGAGGGCAACCTGGACCCCGAGACCAGAACCAAGTACTCGGATCTGCACGAGGAATTGCACGGCAGAGCCACCGCGTTGCTGGACCAAGCGGCCTCCAGGGCGCAGCAGATGGCTTTGGCCGCTTCCAGATGGATACTCCTCGAACAGGGTGTCAAAGAGGAGAGGGGATGGCTGCAAGTGGCTCATCAGAGGGTCCCGGATCTGCAAACGATGACCTCGACCGATTACGATCAGTACATCTCGCTGTATCAGGTAAGAGTGAGAGAGTCTCGTCCGGAGTCTCGCGACGTCGTCGATCTCCGATAATAATTTGTTTTCGCAGTCGCTGGTAACGGACGTGGCTACTCACCATGCCAGGATCGTTCGGCTCTTGAACGTGGCGCGCGGTCTGCGGGACCTGATAGACATCGAGGACCCCGAGGATCGTTACGGCGAAGCCTTGGAAGTGATCGCGAAGCTGCGGGACAACGTCGAGTCCTCGCTGAGACGACTGCTGGCGTTCCGCGAGAGCTGGTACAATCAGGAAGCGTCGATGAACCGTGTGGAAAATTGGATGACCACGGTCGAGAGGGAATTGGAAGCTATGCGCGATCCTTCCGGCGGTCGCATTCGTCGATTCTGGGTAAGAAGAAACGATTCGCGTCGCTTTTCCCGCGTACGGGACAGAATTTTCAGCGCCGAACGGTCGAACCCCGTTCGCGCCGAAACCATCCGTGGACGGTAATTCGAATTCTAACGCGAACGGAGCGCCACCGTGCAAAGTCGAATCGCGCGAGAAATTCGGGTCGTCGAAGGCGGACGACGGATGGCGCCACCGCGTCGAGTCCGAATTTGCCGCGAACGAAAGCGAGCGACCGAACGAAAGGAAGCGCGAATACACGATATCGTTCCGAAACGCAGGAGCTGAAGGCGCGGTACGAGGTGCACAACAACATCAGAGAGGAAGCGAACAACAGCTTCGAGCAGGCGCTGAGGATCGTCCCTCTGTCGGACGAGACGTTGCAGAGACAGTTTCGCGGGGAGATCGAGGACCGTTGGAACGACGTGTCCCGGCGGATCGACGCGATCCAAGAGGAGGTGACCGGAGAGCTGTCCTCGGACGAGATCTCGTCGGCCGACAAGCTGAGGCTGCTCGAGAGGGAGCTGCACGAGCTCCGATCGACGATCGAGGGCTTCCACGGGGTCCTGAAGACGGAGGAGGAGCTGGACCTGTACATCGAGCGTCTGACCGTGCTGTTCGACAGGATCTCGCTGATTCAGAACGAGCTGGGTCGCCTGGCCCTGGCGACGATGGCCGAGAGCGAGAAGGTCGGGCTTCTGCTGCCGTCCGCGCGGCAGGTCGAGTCCCGGATCACCGAGGAACTGGACGCCGCGCAGCTGCTCCGCGAGAGGCTTCGGGCGATTCGGCGAGGCATCGGCCGGGTCCGGAAAGCCCACCGGCGACAGTCCACCGTGCTGGACGGCTGCGAGGGCAGCGAACGACGGGGCAGCGACGAGGTGGCGACCGCGGTCGACCGCTGCCAATCGGTGGCGGACGAGCTGGCCGCTCTCTGGCAGGACATCATGGCTCTCAGACAGATGCTGCACACTCTGCCGACCGTGACGAGGGTCTCCGTGTCCCCCGTCGGCCTCGAGCGAGACATCTCGAGCCTCCAAGACGTCCACGCCGACTTGGAGGGCAGGTGCTCTCGCTTGCTCGGCTCGCTCAAGAACAGGCTCGCTCTCTGGAGAAGATTCGAGAGGCAGCTGGAGATGGTGCAACAGTCCGTCCAAGAGGCCGACTACATGATGGAGCTGCTCACCGTGCAGGGCTCCGTCGACTACGACAGGCTGTTGAAGGCCACGGAACGTCTCGAGGTGAGCGCGTAGTCGACGCGTTCGACCGATCGACCGATCGACCGATCTCGCACAGCCGTGTTCGGTTTTAGCCGAGTTTACCGAGTAGCACAAGCGGTCGACCGACTTTGCCTCATAATATAACCGTTGCGACCGTTTCTATAGTCGTCGACGATCGGTAATCGCGAAAAGTCGGCCCCGCGAGGCTCGAACGATCGTCGATCTTCACCGATCGAAAACCACGATCCGAAAACGTCCGTTTTTCTACCCGATCCGAGCGTCGATCCGGACGAAACCGCGGACCCCCGTCGCGGGGGCCGGTCGGTCGCGAATTTCGCTGGAAGCACGGCTCGACGCGCGGACGGGTACGATTATCCCGTGATCGGAAAGTTCGCGAAAAAGAGAATCGGCCCCCTCGGTAACGCGACGAGACGAAACGATTCGGGGTGCCCGAGATCCGCGGCACGAACGACTTCCAGTTCCAGGGAACATTCCACGAGCCGTTGACAGTGTCCGGAATGCGTTAAAACTTTTACAAGTTCGAGCAACTAGGGCTATCGAGCGACCCGCATTCCCGCAGCTGCTGCCAGGCTTCCGATCGTACCGGCGCGAACCTTTTTCCGTGCGCGGAAGGAGAAACTGGCAAATTCGAACCGGAAGCGGTCCGATTCGATCGATTTTCTCGATGCGCGCTTTCGATTCGCGACCGCGTTCTCGCTCTACCTCGATCCTGAAATTGTCGACAAAACGAAACGGTATTTTCCTCGACGATGCGTTCGCTCGTCGCGTTTCAAAAATTCTTAAAATCGTCGACGCTTTGGAACGCTATCGATGCGCTATAGAACCTTCGGAGACCGACCGCGATAACCCCGCATAACCCCGCATAACTACGCACGAATAATCGCATCGAACTCGATTCGTCGAGACAATAATCGAAAAGAGAGAAAATTTCGTCGAAGTTCGAGGCCATTTCTCGAAAGAAAAGGAACGCGAGATTCGATAGGATCCCGGCGGGACCTCGGACCTCGGTCGTTCGATCGATCGTTCGATCGATCGTCCGATCGATCGGGGACCGGAAGACGCGCTTCCCGACGCGGTAACCTTCGCCACGTGCGATTGGAGCGGTGCTAGCCGACGCGAGGCAAGGCGAGGCGAGGCGAGGCGATGCGAGGCGCGGCGAGGCGAGGCGAGGCGCGACGCGTGCGCGTTTCTGCTTCGGAATCGGTGTTATCGCGGCTCGGCTATCAGTGGCACGGGTCCCGTCGTCGTGTTCGGATCGCGCGCACACGTTCGAACGCGAAACGATCGCGCCAACGCGAGTGCCCGTCGTTTCCTCGCCGTCGCGTTTGCTTTTTCTCCGATCCGATACATGGTGACAACGACGACGACGACGACGACGACGACAACGACGACGACGGCGACGGTGGCGACGGTGGCGGCGGCGCCGGCTGCGGCCGACGAGCGATCGGAGAGACGAGATTCGGTGGAGGATCGCGAGGGATCATGACGTGACACGAAGAATGTGGAACTGCGGACGCGCGATCTACGTCAGTTCGCGGAGAGCCGAGCACGTTCGCGCTCGGCACGCCGAATCTGCTGTTCGGAAGTAAGCGTTCGCGATTCGACCGGCGAGGCCGTCGACGAGTTTTCGCGCTCCGCGCCGTTTTCCTCTCTTCCGACGACGTCGGGCGAAACGGCCCGAGTGTTTCGGTTCGACGAGACGTCGCGGTGTTCGCCGAGGAACCGTCGACGGTTCGAGAATCTCGAAAGATCGGTCCGCGACGGTCTCGCGCCGATTTCCTCCAGAAATTCGTTCGATTTCTACCGTCGCGCGTTTATCGCTCGAACGTTGTTCCTTCGCGTGTCAAATGTCGCGACCCGCGCGCATAAATCGGAACGTTGAAATCCACGGAACGATTCGGCCGAAGTCGAACTCGTTTTTTTCCGCGAAACGATCGGCTCGAATTATTCGAGGTTTTCGACGTTCCCCTCGAGATCGCGCCGACACGGCCGAGCGATTTCCACGTTCCGTTTTTACGGGTCTCGCGGATTCTTTTTCGAGGATCCGAAATGTTTCTCTCGACGACGGTGTCCCGGTCGTTGCGCGCACAAATACGAGCCGGTCGAAGAACGCGCGTACAAAAATATAGAAAAACAAGTTGTTTCCACGACATCGTTGGCTACGGATGTAAGCGTAAATATTACTTGCTCCTCGCGGTATCGAGTCGGGACGAACGCGCGGAATCGTCTAAAACGTTGACCTCGGCGGTTGCCGCGTTCCGGCGTTTCCAAACGATACGCGCGAATCGATTCCACGAATATTCTGGCCAGCGATTGCTGCGCAAAAATTGTAAAAGCGAGGACAACGATCGCGCGACGATCGGCAACAGGTTGGTCGAAATTCGGAACGAGGCGTGCTCGAGAAACGGATGTTAACGGGGAACGACGCGGCAAACGGGAAACGGGAAACGGGAAACGGCAAACGGGAAACGGGGAACGGGGAACGACGGACGTCGAGCGTGCTCGTAATTCGTCGTCTAGATTTCGCAACGGCGGACGGCTCCGGTCTCGCAAATTTCCTCGATCCCGAGCGACGATCCGGTGGGTTACGCGTTCGAACCTCGAAAACCCGATCGCGACGAGAAATTGGCGTTTCCGATTCACGGGTAACGGCGATCGCCTCGATCTCGACTCGACTCGTTCGCGGACGGTGACGGTTCTCGTATTTTGATCGCACCGGCTACGGTCTTCGCCGATCGCGACAGCGATTTCGCCGACTAAATTCATCCACCGCGCAACCAGTTTCCGTGGAAACGCCTCTCCGATTACCTATAATCGCGAACTCGCAACGTTCGGACGAGACGAGACGAGACGAGACGAGACGAGACGAAACGAGACCAGACCAGACAAGAGTAAACTCATTTTCATCGCAAGTATTCCGCCTTGATAATCGCGTCTCGAGTCTCGCGCGAACCGCGAACGGGTCGGGTCGTTGCACCGGCTCGTTAGACGCGATATCGCGTCATCGGCCGCGAACGCGTCGGAGATCCAAGGACGCGTCCCCGTAGCCGTCGTTCCTCCGAGCTTGGAATCGAGACGGTAATTTTCTAAACGGGCCGGACGCGTTACGGCGAACGAGGATTTTGTCGAGATTAAACGGAAAACCGAGACTCGCCTATCCGATTCGATGTAATTGCGCGANGTTCCGTTTTTACGGGTCTCGCGGATTCTTTTTCGAGGATCCGAAATGTTTCTCTCGACGACGGTGTCCCGGTCGTTGCGCGCACAAATACGAGCCGGTCGAAGAACGCGCGTACAAAAATATAGAAAAACAAGTTGTTTCCACGACATCGTTGGCTACGGATGTAAGCGTAAATATTACTTGCTCCTCGCGGTATCGAGTCGGGACGAACGCGCGGAATCGTCTAAAACGTTGACCTCGGCGGTTGCCGCGTTCCGGCGTTTCCAAACGATACGCGCGAATCGATTCCACGAATATTCTGGCCAGCGATTGCTGCGCAAAAATTGTAAAAGCGAGGACAACGATCGCGCGACGATCGGCAACAGGTTGGTCGAAATTCGGAACGAGGCGTGCTCGAGAAACGGATGTTAACGGGGAACGACGCGGCAAACGGGAAACGGGAAACGGGAAACGGCAAACGGGAAACGGGGAACGGGGAACGACGGACGTCGAGCGTGCTCGTAATTCGTCGTCTAGATTTCGCAACGGCGGACGGCTCCGGTCTCGCAAATTTCCTCGATCCCGAGCGACGATCCGGTGGGTTACGCGTTCGAACCTCGAAAACCCGATCGCGACGAGAAATTGGCGTTTCCGATTCACGGGTAACGGCGATCGCCTCGATCTCGACTCGACTCGTTCGCGGACGGTGACGGTTCTCGTATTTTGATCGCACCGGCTACGGTCTTCGCCGATCGCGACAGCGATTTCGCCGACTAAATTCATCCACCGCGCAACCAGTTTCCGTGGAAACGCCTCTCCGATTACCTATAATCGCGAACTCGCAACGTTCGGACGAGACGAGACGAGACGAGACGAGACGAGACGAAACGAGACCAGACCAGACAAGAGTAAACTCATTTTCATCGCAAGTATTCCGCCTTGATAATCGCGTCTCGAGTCTCGCGCGAACCGCGAACGGGTCGGGTCGTTGCACCGGCTCGTTAGACGCGATATCGCGTCATCGGCCGCGAACGCGTCGGAGATCCAAGGACGCGTCCCCGTAGCCGTCGTTCCTCCGAGCTTGGAATCGAGACGGTAATTTTCTAAACGGGCCGGACGCGTTACGGCGAACGAGGATTTTGTCGAGATTAAACGGAAAACCGAGACTCGCCTATCCGATTCGATGTAATTGCGCGAACGACGCGAACGACGCGAACGACGCGAACGACGCGAACGACGCGAACGACGCGAACGACGCGAACAACGCGAGCGACGAAACGGCCAAACTGTCCGTGACGCGGCTACGCGCCGTGTAAACTGTGCCACGTGGAAAACCGCGGACGCGACGCGTTCGCGTATTTCCTCCTTCCCCCTCGACTTCGTTTCCGATCTCGTTTCGCCGAATTTCCAGTCGCGGATTTAGGCGCTCCGCCGCGCCCTGCCGCGCCCCGCCGCTGACTCGGCCAATACGTAATCGCCGGTTTCTATCGCACCGATCTTACCGTTGCGCTCGCGAGCGAACGTATCCTCGTCGGCGAAACCTATTCGCGAAAATATTCGTCTCGCCCGACTGTTACGATTACGGTTAGCGTTACCGTTACCGTTACGCTCCGATCTTCGCTACGAATCGCGTGGAAACCGAAATCCGAGTTACGAGAACGCTTTTACTTAGCTTTTACTTACTCCGCGATTTTCGCGGAGATTTTCGCCGAGGGAATTCGACGAGCCGAGCTCGCGACAATTTCATCGAAACGACATCGCCGACGAATCCGAGGATTTCGGAGACGTTCGGAAAACCGATTCCGCAAATTTCTCTCCCGCCCTCCTCTCGCTCGAACCTTCCCGATCGACGCTTCCGATCCTCCAAAAAGCGAAGCTTTCGGTCGGTAAAGTAATTTCTGAACGAGCGAAACAAGTTCGAATCGTTCTCGACTTTGAGCAAGACGAATCGTTCGGCCGCGGGTAGACGCGAGTACGGCCTTGGCCGGCGAACGAAGCGGAAGCTTCCGACCAGCCGCAACTTCCTGTCCCGTTGCGATGCAGCGACGAAACCCGACGTACGTTCTCGGCGATTTCCGGTCCGCGAAACATCGAAAACTCGAACGATCGGCGACGTTCGAATCGACGGGACGCGAGGGACGCGAGGGACGCGACGGGGCGCGACGCGCCGCGAACCGACTAGTCTCGCGCGAGCAGCGTCTAGTCTCGAAATAGCCACAGCCGACCCTCTGTTATCCGAATGAATCGCGGGAGCACGCTTCGTCGCGTTCGCTTCCCGAATCCTCGCGTCCAAAATATTATTCCGAAACGACTCTGTACGCGTTTCTCGCGTGGGAAGAAGGAAACGATCGCGGAAAAATCGATGCTCCCGTTGTTCCGATGTCCCGACGTTCGCCGTCGTATTCGGTTGCGAAATCGAATCGCCGGAGCGCGCGACGATCGAAAACGGTTGGCCCACGGTTCGAACTCGCGGCTCGCAACTTCCGCGAGCCGCGATCGAGCCGAATATTCGACGAGTTGCGACGGCGATCGCGCGGGAATTCGACGGCCGGTCGTAACCCGGCAAACGTTGGCAACGGGCGCGGGATTCGATTTCCGCTTACGGTTTCGCCGGAAAATTCGCCGCTCGGCCAGGTGAACGAACTCGAGTACACGGCACAAAATTAGTCCAACAACCGTGCGCTCTGACCGAATTCGAGTCGGCGCGAGCCTCGAAACGTGCTGGTCTCGTGACTCAAAATTATTTATAGTTCGTATTTAAGGAAAACCGGCGCGTGCGCGCGCGCATTCTTTGGGCGACGGACCGCGGTCTCGCGCGCCGAAACGGAAGCGAAACGGAATCCGAATTCGAATCCGATTCGCCGCGAACGGTATCGAACCGTCGCGCGAACGTCGCCGCGGGAATGGAATCCCGCGTTCTTCGGATGCCGCGCGCTTCGAGCTTCCCCTTTCTCGCGTTCGTCTCGGGAACGCGAGCCCGTTTCCGGAGTTTCGTAACAGGTGATAATTTCGCTCGGGACGGGCGTTGCGCCGATCGTTCTCGGCGATCCTGGACGAACGCGTCCGGATATCGGAGACCTTGGGACGCGCGCGCGCGCTCGCGCGAGGCTCTCCGACAAGTCTCCGCGGAACGAACTTTCGATTTTCGACGAATTCTCGGGGTTCCGCGACTAATCGTTCCAATTACGCCGGCAGAAGTCGCGGATCGACGAACCCGGACTCGCGTTCAAGGTCGGAGCTTCCGCTTTTGCCGTGCATCGCGCATCGCGCATCGCGCATCGCGGGTCGTTCATTTTCTTCCTTCCGGAGCGACTCGACTTCGCGCATCCGCAAGATATTATCGACGATATCTCCTTCGTCCGCGCCGCATCGGTGAAACGGCGCGTGCCGCGTCGCGTCGCGTCGCGTCGCACCGCGCCGACGCGGAATATCATCGACGATGCGTCATGGATCATTTTAATCGTTGGATCACGAATAACCGTGAAACGCGGGCACGCTGCAGTTTCCCTCGGTAGAATGTACCGCGTCGAACGCGATGAAATTGTGTCCTCGAATCGCGAATCAGCGAATTTTAAACAGCGCGTTATGCATGGGATACGCGCAACAGGCGGCGATCGCGTACGCCGCGCGCGGCCGAGAAAAGTTTAGAAAAAACGAACGAATCGACGGGAGATCGACTCGATCGAGTCCGGTTAACCGGTCCCGGTCCCGGTCCCGGTCTCGGTCTCGGTCTCGGTCCCGGTCTCGACGAAGGACGAACACGCGAGAAGCCAACGTATTCCCAATTTCTTTCGTTCTTCCGGATACTCGAAATCGATCGCGGGAAGTTCGGGCGTTCGTCGAACCTTTCGGTTCGATCGGAAAAGGAGCTGTCGCCGTACGACTCGGAATCGTTGGTATATACGACGATACTTGTCTACATAGGGGCAATAAATAAAGGTACAAGCCCGAGCTTCATAAATGCAGGTACAAGCCCGAGCTTCTCGGGGAAACGGATATACGTTAGGACTCTCATTTACCTGGAAATTACCCGAAGGAATAGTATAAAAAGACTGCACGTTCCAGTGCGAGACACCACTTCCCATAGAACTACAGAGGCGTTCGTCAGCCTAGAAGACGATCGGTCGGACAGTATCTCCGCGACTTCGCATACAGTTACTCTTCTTTTCTTTCTTTTTTAATAGACAATTCCGACTCGGTGTACCGTGTTTCTCAGACATTCGATCGGACGCGCTTGCCGTAAAAATTCATCGAACGAAGCCGCCGCGTTGCTTCGAACGTCGAACTTTCGAAAAGATCGCGAACGAAAAGACGCTCTCGTTTGCGAAAGAATTGGTTCGAAAGGGAACGCGATCCCGAGATACGGTTCGGTACGCGAAACGCCGAGATACGAACGAGCGAACGAGCGAACGAGCGAACGAGCGAACGAGCGAGTTTACAGTTTACACGATGCGGGAACATGGTTTTTCTGTTGCTACAGGGTCTCAGCGGCGATTTGGGAGCGCGCGAAGTTCTCGTCGGCGAATTGCGAGAGGCTGCCGAACCTCTGCGGGAGGGTTGCGCTGCAGAGGTCCGCGAGAAGGTCGAGGCGGCGGTGAACGAGGCCGTGCAGGCCTGGGAGGACACCAGGGCCGAATTGGACGCCCTTTGCACCAAGTACCAGCGCGCCTGCAGATTGTGGCAACGGTACAAGGACTCGAGCGCCGCGGTGAAGGCTTGGGTGGACACGCGGATGGACAACGTCGCCAACCTGCCACCCAAGGAGGCCGCCGAACGCATCAAGGTACGACCAGCGTTTCGCGTGTTTCGCGCGATTCGCGCGCGAAATTCGTGCTCTCTTTTCGGCGCGCGACTTCGGCGAGATCGAAACGTCGGGGGTCGCGTCGCGAACCCTGAAATACTATCGTGCTCCGTCGCATCGTACCCGACGATGCGGGAGATAAACGCGTAAAGCGAACTCGGTGGCACGAGCGAACCGAACCTTTCGACGCGTCGACGTCTTCGAACGCGCGCCCGTTTCTTCCGCTCTAGGACGGGCAGGTTGAAACGACGATTTCTAGTCGTCCTAGTTTGTACGCGCGCGCTCGCTCGCGCAATTTTCGAAAGCCAAAAATTCGTGAAAGCGTCGAACGCGTCGGAGCGTTCGGCGTCGCGACCTATGCTTTCATCGTTCGCGGGACATCGACGACGTAATATTCGTTATCGAACCGTGCGCGGCAACCGTCCGTACGCGTCGCGGAGTACATAAACGAATCCTCCGACCGATCCGCGTTCGAATTTCGAGAGAACTCGAACTCGAACTCGAACTCGAACTCGAATCGGCCGATCGCTTCGCGTTTCCCGCGATCGATGGACCATCGAATCTCGCCTGCTCTCGTTCGGCTCCGAGTAGCCGAGAAATCCCTAACGGACGGACTAACGCGTTCCACCACAATTTTACCGATTTTCACCTGTTTTTTTAATCGACGAACTCCGTCCACTCCGATCCCGACCCTCGATATATTCCAAGAAGGCTCGAGGAAAGCGGTCGATAAATTTCCGAAAAATTCGCGACGGAATCGACGAGATGGTCGAACAACGAATCGCTTTCCCTATCGGGAACCGGGTATAACCTGCGATTTTCCAACGATTGGCCAGAGTTGGTCGAAATCCCGACCGAAGCCGCGCCCCATCTCCGGTCCAGCCGTGTTCGAAAACTACGATCGCGGATCTCGGGATCTCGCGAGAGGCTCGCTCGCGCGCGGCTGATCCGCCCGTTTTGAATGGAGTCTCGGTGGTCGACGCGATCGTCCCCACCACGGTTGGGGCGCAGCGGGCCGTCGTCGTCGTCGTCGTCGTCGTCGCAGTCGCCGTCGCCGTCGACGTCGACTCGGCGATTCACCCCACGCGAGTGTGCCGAAACGCGACTCCGCCAGCGGGGTAGGTCGTTGGAATACGGGGCACGAGAGTCCCCCCCCCCCCCCCCCGTTCCCCCCCCCCCC